GAGTTTGTTTCTGTGTTGATTTGCAAGTTTCTGTTTCTTTGTATTTTTTTTTGGCGAGTTTGTTTCTTTACCCTTTTTGCGTTTCTTTGTTTCTTTGTTATCTTACACGTTTCTTTGTTTCATTTACAAGTTTCTTTGTTTCTTTATTTATTCGTTTCATGACAAGTTTCTTTGTTTCTTTGCGAGTTTCCTTGTAATCTTAATTTTCTCACTTTGGATATTTTTATCGTTCATTCAGGATCGACACTAAAATGATATGAGATATGTGATATGTGGCCGAGGTCGATAGCGATATGTGGCTCATGAGGACAGCGATATATGGCCAAGGGGGATAGCGATATGTGGCCAAGGGGGATAGCGATATGTGGCCAAAGAGGATAGCGATATGTGGCCAAGAGAGATAGCGATATGTGGCCAAATAGGATAGCGATATGTGGCCAAGAGAGATAGCGATATGTGGCCAAGGAGGATAGCGATATGTGACCAAGGAGGACGGCGATATGTGGCCAAAGAAGACAGCGATATGTGGCCAAAGAAGACAGCGATATGTGGCCAAAGAAGACAGCGATATGTGGCCAAAGAAGACAGCGATATGTGACCAAAGAAAAAAAGCGATATGTGGCCAAAGAAGACAGCGATATGTGGCCAAAGAAGATAGCGATATGTGGCCAAAGAAGACAGCGATATGTGGCCAAAGAAGACAGCGATATGTGGCCAAAGAAGACAGCGATATGTGGCCAAAGAAGACAGCGATATGTGGCCAAAGAAGACAGCGATATGTGGCCAAAGAAGACAGCGATATGTGGCCAAAAAAGACAGCGATATGTGGCCAAAGAAGATAGCGATATGTGGCCAAAGAAGACAGCGATATGTGGCCAAAGAAGACAGCGATATGTGGCCAAAGAAGACAGCGATATGTGGCCATACAAGACAGTGATATGTGGCCAAAGAGGACAGCGAAACGTGACCAAGGAGGACGGCGATATGTGGCCAAAGAAGACAGCGATATGTGGCCATACAAGACAGTGATATGTGGCCAAAGAAGACAGCGATATGTGGCCAAAGAAGACAGCGATATGTGGCCAAAGAAGACAGCGATATGTGGCCATACAAGACAGTGATATGTGGCCAAAGAAGACAGCGATATGTGGCCAAAGAAGACAGCGATATGTGGCCAAAGAAGACAGCGATATGTGGCCAAAGAAGACAGCGATATGTGGCCAAAGAAGACAGCGATATGTGGTATGTGGCCAAGAGGGATAGCGGCGCGTGTGAGGGGCGGTGAGTATGAGGAATGAGAATATTAAGTTAACTGTAGAATAACAGATGAATATTAGATAAACTTGGTGGTGCTGATGATGGTGGTGACTGTGGTGGTGGTTGTGGTGATGATGATGGTGGTGGTGTCGGTGATGGTGGTTGTAGTGATTGTGGTGTTGGTGGTGGTGTCGGTGTTGGTGATGGTGATGGTTGTGGTGATGATAGTGGTGGTGCTGATGATGGTGGTGACTGTGGTGGTGGTTGTGGTGATGATGATGGTGGTGGTGTCGGTGATGGTGGTTGTAGTGATTGTGGTGTTGGTGGTGGTGTCGGTGTTGGTGATGGTGATGGTTGTGGTGATGATAGTGGTGGTGCTGATGATGGTGGTGACTGTGGTGGTGGTTGTGGTGATGATGATGGTGGTGGTGTCGGTGATGGTGGTTGTAGTGATTGTGGTGTTGGTGGTGGTGTCGGTGTTGGTGATGGTGATGGTTGTGGTGATGATAGTGGTGGTGCTGATGATGGTGGTGACTGTGGTGGTGGTTGTGGTGATGATGATGGTGGTGGTGTCGGTGATGGTGGTTGTAGTGATTGTGGTGTTGGTGGTGGTGTCGGTGTTGGTGATGGTGATGGTTGTGGTGATGATAGTGGTGGTGCTGATGATGGTGGTGACTGTGGTGGTGGTTGTGGTGATGATAGTGGTGTTGGTGATGATGGTGGTGATGATAGTGGTGTTGGTGATGATGGTGGTGATAATGATGATGAGGAGGAAAAGGAGGAGGTGGAGGAGATAATTAGATAGATACATTACAGTACTTAGAGGCAGACAGATTAAGAGAGAGGGAGAGAGAGACAGATAGAGACAGCGAGAGAGAGGGAATGAGGGAGTGAGGGAGAGAAGGAGAGAAGGAGAGGAGAGACGGAGAGAGGGAGAGAAGGAGAGAAAGAGAGAAAGAGAAAAAGAGAGAAAGAGGGAAAGAGGGAAAGAGGGAAAGGGGGAAAGAGAGAGAGAGAGAGAGAAAAGAGAAAAGAGAAAAGAGAGAAGAGAAAAGAGAAAAGAGAAAAGAGAAAAGAGAAAAGAGAAGAGAGAAAAAGGAAAGAGAAGAGAGAGATAAAAAATATATATAAAGAGAGAGAAAGAAAAAAGAAACAAAGAGAAGAGCAGAAAAACTGAAAAAAAGTAAAAAAAAAAATATATATATATAAAATAAAATAAAAGGAAAAAAAAAACCAAAAAAACCCAGAGACTATGGGAAAGTCTCGTCTCCAAACTCGACAGGATTCGAAAATGGCCAAAGTCCTTCGTTCTTCGGGGCCTGTTAGGGAGTTTGGCTCCGGCCCGTTCGCGAAAAAGGAGGTCGGATTCATTTGGATTTATGGCCGTCGTTTGTGTTCCAAAAATAACGAGATCGGCTCATTTGCGGAGTTGCGTCGCCGGAAGATTGAGTCTGTCGCTCGGTCTCTGTCTGTTTATCGAATTATCTGTCTATCTTTTTTATAAATTTGTCTATCCGTCTCTTTTTTTTCTTTCTCTTTCTCTCTCTTTTTCTGTTTCTGTTTCTGTTTCTCTCTTTCTCTCTCTCTCTCTCTCTCTCTCTCTCTCTCTCTCTCTCTCTCTCTCTCTCTCTCTCTCTCTCTCTCTTTCTTTCTCTCTCTTTCTCTCTCCCTCTCTCCCTCTCTCCCTCTCCCCCTCTTTTCCACTCCCTCTCCCTCCCTCCCTCTTTCCCTCCCTCCCTCCCTCTCTCTCTCTCTCTCTCTCTCTCTCTCTCTCTCTCTCTCTCTCTCTCTCTCTCTCTCTCTCTCTCTCCCTCCCTCCCCCCCCTCTCTCTCTCTCTCTCCCTCCCTCCCCCCCCTCCCTCTCCCTTCCTCCCTCCCTCCCTCCCTCCCTCCCTCCCTCCCTCCCTCCCTCCCTCCTTCTCTCCCCCTCTCTCCCCCCCCCACCCTTTCCCTCTCCCTCTCCCTCTATATTTCTTATTCACACATTTATTTATCCGTTTATCATAAACTTCGAGAGAGAGAGAGAGAGAGAGAGAGAGAGAGAGAGAGAGAGAGAGAGAGAGAGAGAGAGAGAGAGAGAGAGAGAGAGAGAGAGAGAGAGAGAGAGAGAGAGAGAGAGAGAGAGAGAGAGAGAGAGAGAGAGAGAGAGAGAGAGAGAGAGAGAGAGAGAGAGAGAGAGAGAGAGAGAGAGAGAGAGAGAGAGAGAGAGAGAGAGAGAGAGAGAGAGAGAGAGAGAGAGAGAGAGAGAGAGAGAGAGAGAGAGAGAGAGAGAGAGAGAGAGAGAGAGAGAGAGAGAGAGAGAGAGAGAGAGAGAGAGAGAGAGAGAGAGAGAGAGAGAGAGAGAGAGAGAGAGAGAGAGAGAGAGAGAGAGAGAGAGAGAGAGAGAGAGAGAGAGAGAGAGAGAGAGAGAGAGAGAGAGAGAGAGAGAGAGAGAGAGAGAGAGAGAGAGAGAGAGAGAGAGAGAGAGAGAGAGAGAGAGAGAGAGAGAGAGAGAGAGAGAGAGAGAGAGAGAGAGAGAGAGAGAGAGAGAGAGAGAGAGAGAGAGAGAGAGAGAGAGAGAGAGAGAGAGAGAGAGAGAGAGAGAGAGAGAGAGAGAGAGAGAGAGAGAGAGAGAGAGAGAGAGAGAGAGAGAGAGAGAGAGAGAGAGAGAGAGAGAGAGAGAGAGAGAGAGAGAGAGAGAGAGAGAGAGAGAGAGAGAGAGAGAGAGAGAGAGAGAGAGAGAGAGAGAGAGAGAGAGAGAGAGAGAGAGAGAGAGAGAGAGAGAGAGAGAGAGAGAGAGAGAGAGAGAGAGAGAGAGAGAGAGAGAGAGAGAGAGAGAGAGAGAGAGAGAGAGAGAGAGAGAGAGAGAGAGAGAGAGAGAGAGAGAGAGAGAGAGAGAGAGAGAGAGAGAGAGAGAGAGAGAGAGAGAGAGAGAGAGAGAGAGAGAGAGAGAGAGAGAGAGAGAGAGAGAGAGAGAGAGAGAGAGAGAGAGAGAGAGAGAGAGAGAGAGAGAGAGAGAGAGAGAGAGAGAGAGAGAGAGAGAGAGAGAGAGAGAGAGAGAGAGAGAGAGAGAGAGAGAGAGAGAGAGAGAGAGAGAGAGAGAGAGAGAGAGAGAGAGAGAGAGAGAGAGAGAGAGAGAGAGAGAGAGAGAGAGAGAGAGAGAGAGAGAGAGAGAGAGAGAGAGAGAGAGAGAGAGAGAGAGAGAGAGAGAGAGAGAGAGAGAGAGAGAGAGAGAGAGAGAGAGAGAGAGAGAGAGAGAGAGAGAGAGAGAGAGAGAGAGAGAGAGAGAGAGAGAGAGAGAGAGAGAGAGAGAGAGAGAGAGAGAGAGAGAGAGAGAGAGAGAGAGAGAGAGAGAGAGAGAGAGAGAGAGAGAGAGAGAGAGAGAGAGAGAGAGAGAGAGAGAGAGAGAGAGAGAGAGAGAGAGAGAGAGAGAGAGAGAGAGAGAGAGAGAGAGAGAGAGAGAGAGAGAGAGAGAGAGAGAGAGAGAGAGAGAGAGAGAGAGAGAGAGAGAGAGAGAGAGAGAGAGAGAGAGAGAGAGAGAGAGAGAGAGAGAGAGAGAGAGAGAGAGAGAGAGAGAGAGAGAGAGAGAGAGAGAGAGAGAGAGAGAGAGAGAGAGAGAGAGAGAGAGAGAGAGAGAGAGAGAGAGAGAGAGAGAGAGAGAGAGAGAGAGAGAGAGAGAGAGAGAGAGAGAGAGAGAGAGAGAGAGAGAGAGAGAGAGAGAGAGAGAGAGAGAGAGAGAGAGAGAGAGAGAGAGAGAGAGAGAGAGAGAGAGAGAGAGAGAGAGAGAGAGAGAGAGAGAGAGAGAGAGAGAGAGAGAGAGAGAGAGAGAGAGAGAGAGAGAGAGAGAGAGAGAGAGAGAGAGAGAGAGAGAGAGAGAGAGAGAGAGAGAGAGAGAGAGAGAGAGAGAGAGAGAGAGAGAGAGAGAGAGAGAGAGAGAGAGAGAGAGAGAGAGAGAGAGAGAGAGAGAGAGAGAGAGAGAGAGAGAGAGAGAGAGAGAGAGAGAGAGAGAGAGAGAGAGAGAGAGAGAGAGAGAGAGAGAGAGAGAGAGAGAGAGAGAGAGAGAGAGAGAGAGAGAGAGAGAGAGAGAGAGAGAGAGAGAGAGAGAGAGAGAGAGAGAGAGAGAGAGAGAGAGAGAGAGAGAGAGAGAGAGAGAGAGAGAGAGAGAGAGAGAGAGAGAGAGAGAGAGAGAGAGAGAGAGAGAGAGAGAGAGAGAGAGAGAGAGAGATATGTATTTATTCATTCGCCTTTCATGGTAAAAACCTATTTTTAATAATTATTTTTTTAGCGATGCAACCGGCACGGCATCTAACAATTAGTCCGCCTTTGAAACAGAATATTGTAAGAATATTGTAAGAATATTATATTGATTATTGATATTGATTCACCGATTCACTAATCAGTCTTGAGAAACGAAGAGAACTAGGCAATCGAGTAGACAGGCCGGGTGAAACATGCTTCAGAAACTCTAATCTTCAAGAAACGCAAGAAACTGAATCACTCTTAAGATGTAAATTAAGTGAAGACAGCGTTAATAGGTCGGGTGAAACATGCTTCAGAAACTCTTTTTTTTCGGCGATTCAGATGCAAGAAACTGAATCACTTAAGAAAGGAAGCAAAGTAAGTGATGTCAGCGTTGATAGGCTGGGTGAAACATGCTTCAGAAGCTTTTTTACGGCAAGGCAAACGTAAAGAGACTGAAACGGGCTGTGCATCACTCTTAAGAAACGAATAAAATTGTGAAAACGAGTCGACAGGCCAGATGAAACGGGCTTCAGAAACTCGTATCTCTAGTTTTTTGTTTTTTTTTATCCGGTAAGACAGTCACAAGAAACTGAAACGGGCTGTGAATCCCTCGCAAGAAACGAATAAAATTGAGAAAACGAGTCGACCGACCGGATGAAACGTGCTTCAGAAACTCTGTTATTTAGTTGTCCTTTTTCCGGCGAGACAGACGCAAGAAACTGAATCATTCTTAAAAAGTAAAGTAAGTGAAGACAGCGTTGATAGGCCGGGTGAAACATGCTTCAGAAACTTTTTTTCGGCGAGGCAAACGTAAAGAGACTGAAACGGGCTGTGCATCACTCTTAAGAAACGAATAAAACGAGTCGACAGGCCAGATGAAACGGGCTTCAGAAACTCGTATCTCTAGTTTTTTTTTATCCGGCAAGACAGACGCAAGAAACTGAAACGGGCTGTGAATCCCTCGCAAGAAACGAATAAAATTGAGAAAACGAGTCGACCGACCGGATGAAACGTGCTTCAGAAACTCTATTATTTAGTTGTCCTTTTTCCGGCGAGACAGACACAAGAAACTGAATCATTCTTAAAAAGTAAAGTAAGTGAAGACAGCGTTGATAGGCCGAGTGAAACATGCTTCAGAAACTTTTTTTCGGCGAGGCAAACGTAAAGAGACTGAAACGGGCTGTGAATCCCTCGCAAGAAACGAATAAAACGAGTTGACAGGCCGGATGAAACGGGCTTCAGAAACTCAGTATCCTTAGCTTTTTTTATCCGGCAAGACAGACGCAAGAAACTGAAACGGGTGTGAATCATTCTCAAGAAACGTATAAAATTAAGAGAACGAGTCGACCGACCGGATATAAACGTGCTTCAGAAACTAAAATCTTTGGTTGATGTTTTTTTTTTCCGGCGAGGCAAACGTAAGAAACTGAAATGGCCTGTGAATCACCTAAAAAAAAAGTGAAAGAGAGGAAGCTGATTCAGTGCGGTCGTGGGAAGATGGGCGTAGGCGGTGGCAGAGTGGTGGAAGAGTGGAGGTGGAGGCGAGCGAAGGGCGGTGGAAGGAAGGAGGTGGAGGCGGTGGTAGCGTGGTGGAAGGAAGGAGGTGGAGGCGAGCGAGGGGCGGTGGAAAAAGCGGAGGTGGAGGCGGTGGCAGCGTGGTGGAAAAGAGAGGCGAACGGGGTTGGTGGAGAGCGGAGGTGGAGGCGAATCGGGGTGGCGGAAAAAGGGAGGTGGAAGGGTGGAGATGAACGATGGGTGACTTAAGAACCAGCGGAGGTGGAAGAGTAGCGGTGGAGGCGAACAAGGAGGCGAACGAACGATGGTGGAAGAGCGGCGGTGGAGGCGAGCGGAGATGGCAGCGGCGGTGGCAGCGGCGGTGGCAGCGGGCAGCGGCAGCGGGCGGCCGGCCGGGCGGGTGGCTGGCCGGGCGCGGAGCCACAGTGTCACTGGTGCGGTCGTCAGGGAAGCCACGCGTCAGTGCAGCTCTGGTGTGCGTCATCACGTGTCAGTGCGGTGTTAGTGAGGTCGTGGCGGCCGTCGCGAGAGCAGCGTCCGAGCGGAGTGCGAGCCGGAGCGGCGAAGCGGCACGAGTGTGGAGAACGAGAGTCGCGCGAACACTGTGCGAGGGAGGAGGAGGTGTAAACACTCGGGCGGTGTTGGTTGGGCGGCGGTGTTTACATGATGACGGTGGCGGAGGCGGAGTTGGTGCGGCGTGCGGCGGAGAAGGGCCGGAGCGCATCATTTTGCGCTCCCTCCCAGCCGCTGTCCGCCCTCCACTCCGCGCACTCCTCGTCAGATATCCACATGGATGCCCGAGCCCACGCGGCGGCCTTCGTCCAGGCTCAGCAGCAGGCATCCTCCAGCCCGAGGGCGAGGCTGAAGGCGTCGCAGGCGGCGCGGCGCTCGCAGTCCTGCCGCGTGCAGGGCTCGCGGCCCCCCCGCGTGCGACGCAGGGAGTCCCCGAGGGGCTCCGAGGTCGGCGTCGAGCTCGACGAGGACGCGAACGCCTCCTTCGCGGGCGCCGACAGGACGGGCGGTGAGGCCTCCTACAACCCCTTCCTCCGCAAAGTGCCCTCCTGCGGCCGGCTGGTCACCCTCACGCCCGACGGCGGCGGCAGCGGCGAGGATGCCGAAGACTCGCCCGTGCTACGCCGATCAGCGTCCGCCCGCCGCCCGCGCCCGCCCACAGCCTCATCCCCCAGCCACTCCCCCACGCCCACGCGAGTGACCCGTCCAGCACAGAAGAGCCGATCGACGGTGAAGAGGAGCTCGGCCAACTCGGGCTCCCGGCGCGGGGGCGCGGCCGGCGCCGGCTACCTCGACGTCAAGCCCTCGGGCTCCAACGAGTGCCTCGACCCCGACGCCTACCTGCTCAGGACCTTCTCGACCACCAACAAAGGTCAGTCTCCACGCCGGGCAAACCGCCTGCACCCTGGCGCGCCCTCCGAGGGGCGCGGCGGGGCATCGGGGAAGGCATTGCCCGCTGGGGCCTGGGACCGTATGCTGTGCCATACCGTGTCCTTGCCGCACGCGCCTTCGGTGAAGAGATGCTCTTAACCAGCAGAAACGCTTATTTTTAAGATAATTAAAAAGTCTGTGACATTGCTCGAGTCAGCACTTGATTAGTAATTATTAATGATCGCAGAAACATATTTAGAAATTATCATTACATGTAAATTATTATCATATGCGAGTATATTCTGTGGGACGTTATTCAATAACCTTAGTGCTTATACCACCATAAAAAAATCTTGAAATTGTTTTGGCTTTACATTAGCGAATGGAATTTACTTTTATAGTTATCATGTGGACAGTTATTGCAGAATGGTTAGATAACAGCTGATACATTATCATAAGGATAAGATTATTCTGACAGTTCTATTTTTATCAAGGTGTTTTAACTGAATGTCTTAAATGGAGAGAAGGTGAAGGAAAAGAAGACATATCGAATAATAAGAACTAGAAGAAAAAGAAGAAGAAGAAGAAGAAGAAGAAGAAGAAGAAGAAGAAGAAGAAGAAGAAGAAGAAGAAGAAGAAGAAGAAGAAGAAGAAAGAGGAAGAAACACTATTACCCTAAACAATGGTACAACCAGCTGACGTCCAGGACGAGGTGTGGGGCACCTGGATGACGTCATAACCATTCCACTGCGTGATTGGTGGCCAAGTAAATTACGCGATGTAATACACGTCACATGATTGGCTGCCTCTCAATTCCTTTGTGTTACCTGTTATTTGATTGGCTTGCTGTCGCCAAGTGTTTGTTTGGTGCCATGATTTAATTACACTTCTATTTAGATCTGTAACCGGGCATTTCGCGCGGGAAATTTTCACGCGATTTTCATGGCTGTTCAGATAAGAAAATGAAATGTTATATGTAAAAGGAAAAACGAAAACGGCGTAGGCGCTTTCCGTTTTTTTCTTCTCTCTGGCAGCTACGATCTATTTTTATTTCAGTGACGTTTGACAGTTGCCATTCTGGGGATGAAATTCTATAGTAAAAAGAGGCAAGAAATATGTCAGCATATTTATCTGCCTACACCGTATCATGTCTATTTCTATATCTATATTTAGTTTCTTAGCTGCTTATTATCTGTCAATTATATATAAGTGTGTATATATATATATATATATATATATATATATATATATATATATATATATATATATATATATATATACATATATATATATATATATATATATATATATATATATATATATATATATATATATATATATATATATATTTATGTATATCTAATGTACACATACACACACACACACACATACAATTTATATGTATATATATATATATATATATATATATATATATATATATATATATATATATATATGTGTGTGTGTGTGTGTGTGTGTGTGTGTGTGTGTGTGTGTGTGTATGTGTATGTATATACGTGCGTGTGTGACATTCAGATGTTATTCTTATATTTTATGAAGTAGAAATAATATAAATTATCTTTGTTAACATATATATATATATATATATATATATATATATATATATATATATATATATATATATATATGTATATATATAAACAATGAAAGAAGTAAGTAAAGGATCAAATTACCTTATTGTTACACGAACAGCTCCTTGTTCCAAACGCATCTTGTAATTCATTCTGATTATTCTCCGATCGAATTGCAACTCTGCTTTCGTCCTTTACGGTCGCGTTGCATCACCGGATAGATGTAGGCAATTCACTGAACAAAAATAACCGACACGTATCACAATGTTTGACCGAAAACCACTGTGTACAGGTCGCCAGCTTCAACGGTCTCAGTTTAGAAGATTAAACCAAAGATCGCGGGTACAAGTTAAGATAAACAACCAAAAAATAGAAGTTGTGATATTAATAAAAAAAATGTCGAAATATTCAGCCAGCATCAACGGTCACGGTTGTTAATATTCAGCCAAGAACAACGGAAATTAAGATATTCAACCCAAAGCAGAAGTTACGATATTAAAAGAGAAAAAAAACTTCGCCATATGCAAAGCCACCGTCACAGTTTACAATACTCAACCATGAGCAACGGACATAAGTTAAGACATTCAACCGAAAAAAAACCGCAAGAAATTCGCCACATTCAACCATCATCAACGACCACAGTTTACAACACTCAACCCCAAAGGCACAGACGCAAGGTACACTATCCATCCAACCTTCTGCTCAGTATAGCTTCGGTTTAACCTCATCTGTAAACACGAAAAAAAAATAGGGTGAGGGAAAAGTGAAGTCGTCTGAACAGTTTACTCACAACTAAGGGCGCAGTGGCAGAGTAAATGGCGTAATGAGACAAGTTTACCCATGGTTTATGTAAGAACAGTGTTTACTTTTGTGGGGAGAAGTGGAGAGAGGGTGAGGAGGGAAGGGGGGGAAGGGAGGGGGAGAGGAGAGGATAAGGGTGGGGGTAGGGATGGTGGAGAGGAGGGTGAGGAGAAGTGATAAGAAGGAAAGGAGGTAGAAAGGGAGAGAGAGAGGGAGGGAGGGAGGGAAGGTGTTAGAGTGAGGAGGAGATGAGAGTGGGTGAGCAAGGAAGGGGGTGTGAGGGTGAGGAAGGAGAAACGAAGAGAGGATGATTAAAGAAGGAGATGTGAAGAGGAGAAGTGGAAAGAGAGCGAGGAGAGAGGAAGAGAGGGAGTGAGGGAGGAAGGAAGGGAGGTATGAGGGTAAGGAAGGTGAGAGGGAGGGAGGGGGAGATGGGAAGGAGGTGTGAGGGTGTGGGAGAGGAAGGAGAGTAGTAAGGAAAATGTGATGATATAGGCGAAGATAAAAGGATAAGGTTAGTGGTGAGGGTGTGTGTGGTGGAGGGGGGGGGGATGGAGGAGAGGGTTAGGGTCAGAATTGTGGGAGAAGAAAGGATAGATAAAGATGGGGGAGAGGAAAGGTGGAGAAAAGGGTGGATGGTAAGGATTATGGGAGAGGATGAGGGATAAAGTTGGAAGCAAGGGAGAGAAATATTTCGTGGAAAGGACGAGGATAAGAATAAGGAAGAAGAAAAGAGAAGATAAAGGTAAGAATGAAGGAGGGAAAAGAAAGAGAACATAGTAAGGAAAAAAGTTAATCTATGGATGTAGGAGAGGAAGAAGACGTAAAGGAAAAGGCAAGGAGAAGAAGGAAGGAGGGATAGGAAGAATAGCAAAAGAGAGAAAGAATGAAAGAAAGAAGAGAAGATGAAAGAAGAGAACAGAGAGAGAGATGGGAAGTGAAGTGGATGGAAGAAAGAGAGTAGGAAAAGTTTGATCTGTATGAGAAAACTTTGGGTTCCACGCCCTGAAAAAACCCAAGGAGGAGGAGGGGCGGGGGAGGGGGGAAGTTCAAGTATCTAGTTAAACTGGTTGAACTTCTGTTGATTTAAGAGAACCATCAATCAAATATTAACACAGCGTGCCTATTACACGCTCTTATCTTGTCGGTAGGAAATTTTGTATATCAGTAATCTCATTAGAAAAACAACAACAACAACAAAAAAATCACGAAACTGAACACATATTATCTAAATTGCTATTGGATTGATAGGATACAATTTTTTTTTGTAGGTTCGAAGAGGAATTTGATTATATTATGGGACTTGGGGGTCAGTGTACGGTTTATAATGATAATTTGATTATGGTTTCATCTCCTAAAAGTGTATCTTGTAAGTATTGTTTGTGCGTGTATGTGTGTGTGTGTGTATGTGTACCGATACTTTATGCATAGTCTGGTTGCTAAGTCTTTGAGAGAGAGGTCACTCTATAGGAGGATTATGTCTGTATTTGATGCCGCCCCGATAGTACTCTCATAGTGCCAACTGGTGCCATTGCTTGCTTTTTTTCTTTTTTTTTATTTTACGGTCCGGTTTAGATTTTCGTAATTTTCGAGATTTTTTTTTTCTTTGGGGGGGGAGGGAGTGGTGATAAAGGGATGAATTGCTCGAATGGATCATGTCGACTCCCCTTCCCCCCCCCCACCCCCTCCCCCCAAAAAAACAAAAACAAAAAAAAAAACGAGGCACTGAAAAAAATGCATGAGAAGGTCATCGGTAGTTTCGTGTCTTTTCCTCCTGTTCTTCCTCCTCTTGCTCTTCTTTCTCTTACTCTTCTCCTCTTGCTCCTCCTTCTCTCGTTCTTCCTTCTCTTGCTCTTCCTCTTCTTGCCCTTCCTCCTTTTGCTCCTCCCCCTCTTTTCTTCCTCCTCTTGCTCCTCCTCCTCTCGTTCTTCCTCCTCCTGCTCTTCCTCCTCTTACTCTTCCTTCTCTTCCTCCTCCTCCTCTTTTCTTCCTCCTCTTCCTCCTCCTCTTCCTCCTCCTCCTCTTTTCTTCCTCCTCTTCCTCCTCCTCTTCCTCCTCCTCCTCCTCCTCTCATTCTCTCCCCCCCCACACTATTCCTCCCACTCTTTAAATTACCGAACTTCAAGAAAGAAAAAAGAAAAGAAAAAAAAGAAAAGAAAAAAGAAAAGAAAGCAGTAGAGTTTAATTCCCATGTCCTTGTTTCGTATGATTTTAAAAGGATTTAAGAGCATTAGGAGACAACGGAGGAAGGAAGGACTAGCTTCACGTTGCCCTTCGTGGGACTGACGAGTGCATTATGTATGAGCCTCGGATTTCGAGAAGCAGTGGGGAGTGGGTGTGGGTGGGGGAGTGGGTGGGGGAGTGATAGTAAGAGTGGGTGGGGGAGTGGGAGTGAAAGTGAGTGTAAGAGTGGGAGTGAGAGTGGGTGGGGGAGTGGGAGTGATAGTAAGAGTGGGTGGGGGAGTGGGAGTGATAGTAAGAGTGGGTGGTGGTGTGGGAGTGAAAGTGAGAGTAAGAGTGAGATTAAGAGTGGGAGTGAGAGTAGGAGTGAGAGTGAGTAAGCGTGTGAGTGTTACATACAGACATATACATGTATATAGATGCGTGT